CTAAGCTTATCCAAAGGCCTTATCCAAGCCCCTTGGACGAAATCATTAGGGTTTCCCCTATAGATTTCGTCCACCCCCTTCCAAGGAGGTTCTGGAACTTTCCACTCAACTATTAGATAATTGCAAACTAGTCCCTGCACTTTATAATTAACACAATTAACCCCAAAATTAATTCTAATTAATTTCTGGCTAACTATTAATTAAATATTATGATTTCTAATTACTATGTTAACATTTTAACATATTAATAAATCAGTTATATTAATTTATTAATCTTATAAATAAATCAATATCTCTCATTTCATAATTTCCTTGTCCAGTTGCTAGGTTTGAGGGCAACCCAAAAGGACTGTGCTGCTATCAATTCAAGTACATACCAATTATAGTTATGGGCTTAGACACCTAATCCAACACTTTATGACTTATCATGTCCAATAAGTGCTTAACTCAAGTTCTTATTCCATTAAGACCTTCTAAATGATGCATCAAGCAAAACTAACCATTTGGAACCCATTTTTATGACTTAAGACCCCTCCTAGAGTCTGAAAGGACAGCTTAAAGGTCAAGAACATGCCATGTTCAAGATCTAACATTTTGGGACCAAAAAGCTTCATAAAGACATCTAAATCCAGATCTATATGCTAGAGGGATAAAGTTGCAAGCTTTATACCTTAGAAATGTTGCAAATGATGTAGAAATCCCAGATCCAAGTGCTTCACTCCTTCAAGATGAGCTTGTTTCCTTTCTTCTTTTTCTAAGGAACCAAAATACACACTCTAAGCTTGGAAAGGACTTCTCAAGGTAAAACTAGGGTTGCAAAAACGTATAAGAGGGATGGAGGCAGATGAGGTGAAGGAAATGAGGCCATGAGAGTGTTTAAATACAAGCCAACCCCTAAAATTAGGGTTTCCATACCTGGCAAGTACGCCCTTCGTACTAGGGCACGCCCTAGTACTCTCAGCGTACACACGTACGCATGGCGTACTACCCAAGGCCAAATTTACGAAACTGTCACTAGGGCCCTTTGCATACAATCTTGAACTTAGGGACCAAAATGCAACATAAATAAATTATAGGGTTAATATTAGAAGTACCTTGCCATCGGGATGTTACATTAATGTACGCCTTGCGTATTAGGGTGTGCCCTAGTACGCTCAGCGTACACACATACGCATGGCATACTCCCCAAGTCCAAATTTATGAAACTGCCACTGGGGCCCTTTGCATACAATCTTAAACTTAGGGACCAAAATGCAACATAAATAACTTATAGGGTTAATATTAGAAGTACCTCGCCATCGGGATGTTACAACTTTTAGGGTTCTTGATATTCAATTGTTTGTTGCAAATCATAGTGAGAACATAGATCCTTTAGGTTGCATGTGAACTTAGGGTTTAAGTTTTTCCAAATCATCTGGATGTTACAACTCATTGCATGCTTATTAGCTACGATGATTACTATAGATATTATCAGCTAATGTGCAAAAAGCATATACTCACCCAAACGTGATAATGTTCAAATGGTTACAGTTTATGTGTAATTAATTGTTAGTTGATGATATTTATGAAATATCTATATGTTCAGGAATCATTATAGAATGATATTATTTAATAACATTTTATCTTATAGACTCACACCAATATCAAGTAAATGTTAATTTAATATTATGAAGATTTGATCTTAATAAATATTTATAATTCTTGCATAGTTAATTATATTTTATTATTTTATGAAAATAAAATTTTCTAAGAGAGTAATCAACTAATAACTCATAAGGTATGATTCATATGTCGTGTATATTTATTTTGAACTTACTGAAGTTCATTAATATAATACATTTACATGTTGGAAAATGAGACGAAGTGAAAATCACTCCACCCTCTTTTTTTCTTCCTTAAAGTCGATTAAACCCCTAGAGGGTGTATGGCTGCTTGTGTGTCATGTTTTTACATTTAATGGAAGTATGCTTCTTAGTACATATGTGTAAGTATATAAGAAAAGTAAAGACTCACTTTTGAGCTAGTTTTTTCTTTCGTTGTACCTCTTAGCCAAACTCTCTCTATTTACTCCATCCTATTGCTTTCTTTTGAAGGACTAGCAAGTAAGTTGGTGTTTCATAAGTGCTTCTCCTTAAGGCTAATTTGGTAATAGTTCTTAAATTCTTAAGAAACACTTAATACAAGAAGAACTAGCATAATAATTCACTTGATGATATATTGGTATATACTTTTAGATGAGCACAATTTAGTGTTATTACCAACATTTCATCAACTTCCAACTTTCCCTTGAGGAATCAAGGTATACAAAAACTGTTATTATTTTCATTCTATGGTTGGTTTAATCTTTCTATAAATACAAAAGGGTCCTTGGTGGGTATAAAAAGGTTTTATGTTATTTAATATCTTAAAGCTTCCACTGCCATTTTTAGTGTATTTAGAAACCGGTTTTTGAATAAAACCCAACAATTTAGGCTCATTATGCTGATTTATTGTGTTGGTTATTTACATTATACCATCTAGATTGAAGTAAACCATTAATCGATGAATTTAACCAAAAAATGAGCTTTTTAAAATATGTTATCATTGTGGAAAGTTTTGGTAAATGACCTTAGGTTGGAAATATTTTCCACTAATGTTAGACAACCTAAAAATGGAGGGGGTGTGAGTTTTGATAGTACTTTCCACGTATATGTATTAAGCAAGAAAGCATGAACTTGTGAAAAGTGATGACTAAACCTCATGGAATTACACATAGTGAAATCAAGGCTAGTTCAAGGTTTTATTTATAAAACTGATGCACATTAGGTCGAATTTACATGCTTAATTGTAAATTGTGTTATTGTTATCTGTATGTGCATAAAAATGTATACAACCGCATATAGATGTTTGTATTATGGTTTTGTGGATTGTGGCATTGATCATAAGATGACATGCATTCATTTTGCTATAATTATCATCAATTGATCATATTATGTGGGATTCTCTTTCCTTTGTCTTGGTTTTCCATTAAAGAGTCATATAGATTATTTGTTATATATAAGCAAATTTATGTGAAAAAATCACAATAAGCTAATAAAAAATAGTGCTAACGATATGCACCATATAAATAAGCACACAAGTATACTCTACGATACCTAGGATATGGGCTTAGAGTTTAACTCAACATTGTCCTAGCCTTTGGATTATGCCTATTTGGGAGACGGATCAAGTTAACGACTGTCGCATAAATTACTAATATATAAAACTTATATTAACTTGGAAATATACTATATAATGTTCACATGTAAATGTACATTTACACATGTATATACTATGTAAACATAATATACCATGTAATATTTATATGTAAATATATCATATAAACAACATTCATAATGTATTATTCATGTGTACGACTTTATTTTTTACAGACAAAACACACAAAATTTACATGTGAATCAATATATGATTATTAAGATATATTCTTACTAAAAAAATCTAGAATTATTTATGAATTTCAAATTTGTCATTGAAATTGGGTATACTTCTGATTTAAATAAAGTAGTCCAAATTCTTAAATATTCTATGGAAAATTTGGGTATTAAAAAAAAGAGAATTCTTAAATATTTATATTTTTATAATTTCCTTATAAAAATATGTATTACAAGAATATAATTAGGGAAATAGACTTATTAAGGTAATTAATTTTTCGGTTTGTTCACATCTGAGTAACTATCTTTTTTTGTACACATCTAGGTAACGAACTTTTTGTAAGTGTTCACATATGATCATTATGACCAGATGTAGCAGGTCATTCGGTCATAATGATCATATGTGAACACTTACAAAAAGTTCGTTACCTAGATGTGTACAAAAAAAGATAGTTACCCAGATGTGAACAAAACGAAAAGGTAAGAGTAAATTACACGAATGGTCCCTGTGCTTTGGGTAATTTGTGCGTTTGGTCCCTAACTTATTTTTTAACTCGGATGATCCCTACTGTTTATTTTTTGTTGTGTGTTTGGTCCCTGTCTTACCTCAAAAGACTATTGTGCCCTTTTAATTTATTTTTTAATTAAATTTCTTATTTATGTATTTATTTTTTATATATTAAAAAAATTAATAGACCTCATATATTTGTATCTCTTCACCCTAAACCTGAAACCACATTTGAGAAATTGAAGTTGGGTCCCACCAGTCACCATCTCATATTTCATCCTCCTCAACTTCTATTTCATTTTCATCGTTAGTGACATCGACGTCTTCACCACCCCTTCTTTTTTTGGTCCTTCAACTCCGACGAACCAACACCACAACCCATTGTATCTTCATTGAATTTTCCACCACCACAACCCAATAGAAGTGGTGTGGTGTTGGTTCGCCGGAGTTGAAAGACCGAAAAAAAAGGGATGGTAAAGACGTCGATGTTACTAAAGATGGAAAGGAAATAGAAGTTGAGGAGGATGAGAGATGAGATGGTGACTGGTGGGACCCATCTTAATTTTCTCAAATGTGGTTTCAGGTTTAGGGTGAAGAGATACAAATATGTGGGGTCTATTATTTTTTTTAAATATATAAAAAAAATACATAAATAAGAAATTTAATTAAACAATAAATTAAAAATGGGCACAATAGTCTTTTGAAGTAAGACAGAGACCAAATGCACAACAAAAATAAACAGTAGGGATCATCCGAATTAAAAAATAAGTTAGGGACCAAACGCACAAATTACCCTAACCACAGGGACCATTCGTGTAATTTACTCTTACCTTTTCAGTTTGTTCACATATGACCATTATGACCGGATGTAACCTGCTACAGCCGGTCATGGTCATATGTGAACACTTCCAAAAAGTTCGTTAACTAGATATATACAAAAAAAAAAAAAATAGTTACCTAAATGTGAACAAATCGAAAAGTTAATTACCTTAACAAGTCTATTTCCCATATAATAATATATAATATTGTAATGGAAAGAGTAAAAGAAACGATTGATATAGATGATTATAAAAAGGAAAAGAGAAAAACCAGTCTCCAAGTACTCCAAAATACACACTTCAAGCTAACCGACTTACAGTGGGAGAGAGATGTTGGAGAGAGTGCTTTCCGCGCGGAGAGGAGCTCACATGGCGGACGAAGGCGATGAACACGAAGGAGACGAATCCAAAACCAAGAAGCATCTTTCAATTGCTATCCGAATCAGTAACTACTTCATCCGAACAGGTTACCTATGTCCCATTCTCCTCCTCGCAACAGCCATCCTCCTAATCTCATCCCTCTTCGTCCGCCCCCGTGATCTGCTCTGTGTTTCCTCCATATCTTCCTTCGATCGCCTCTCTCGCAATCGCTTTTTTGGATTGGATGGCCTCGAATCGGACTTCGGATCCCTAGGCGTACCGTGGTGTAAGCTCTCATCATTCATTCGCTGTTAGGGTTTATTGATTTGATTCGATATACTCGGATCTGAATAGATTTGATAAATTTTTCATTGATATTCACCTTCTCATGTCTATTCTAATGTGAATCTAATGCTCGTATGTATTTAAATCGGTGAAACTCTCTACCAAATTTGCTACTGGACGTAATTTTAATTGAACAAAGTGTGAAATTATGGATTTGACGTAACAAATAACATTTCATCAATGAACTGGGATGCAAATGCAGATTATGTTTATGATTATAGAGAATGGGTTTGCAAATTTGGGGATTAATCAATGATTTACGATACTCTGATTGTCTACATGTTTTTAATTTATATCCTTTTTAAAAGGCAGATCGAAAGATGGAAAAACCGTGGATTGGACATCCAAGGATCTGCTCCAAGGTCTAGAAGAGTTTGTACCAATATACGAATCACGACCCATCAAGAACAACATGTATGGGATGGGTTTTGATCACAGCTTTGGGCTCTGGTTTATTGCACGATGGCTGAAACCAGATCTAATGATTGAGAGTGGAGCTTTCAAAGGACATTCCACCTGGATCTTGAGACAAGCAATGCCAAACACCCGAATTATCTCAATCACACCTCGCCACCCTGAAAAATACCTTAAAAAGGGTCCTGCATATGTTGATGGAAACTGCACATACTTTGCTGGAAAAGACTTTGTTGATTTTGGGAGTGTTGATTGGAAGACTGTGATGAAGAAACATGGTGTAACTGATCTGACTCGTGTTCTTATATTTTTTGATGATCATCAAAATGAATTAAAAAGGTACAATTGTGTGTTTTTTAAACATTATCTATCGAATTCCATTTCCAGATGCATGATTCTTTCTTGTAATTTACATTCTCTACAAGATTAAAGCAAGCACTGAAAGCTGGCTTCTCAAATCTTGTTTTTGAAGACAATTACGATACTGGAACTGGAGATCATTATTCATTGAGACAAATATGTGATCAGTTCTACATACAAGGTCAGTTTTACTTTTGCATGACTTAATCAAAACACAAGTGTTCCGTTTCTGAATGAAAGTGATAATTTTTTCATCCAGGAGGTGGGCATAGTTGCTTTGAAGATGGTGATGAAGGTAGAGCAAGAACAAGAAGAAAGAAGTTTTGGGAAAAGGCAGTGGATACTAAGGAACTATGCGGACCAGGGGAAGTATGGTGGGGAGTCAGAGGATACATGAGGGATGATTTTAATCACAGCAATAAGCCAATATCATACACACAACATTTTCAAAACAGCAGATTTGTTGAATCAATACTTGATGTTTATTGGGAGCTTCCACCTGTAGCGGGTCCCTCGCTGACTCATCAAACCAGATATGATCCAGCTCGTGCACCGAGTCCCATTGTTGAAGATGGAAGATTTGGGTTGTTTCAAAGGCTTGGGTTATCAAGACTTGAGACTTCTGTATTTAATGGGTATACTCAAATGGTGTATGTTCAGATATCCCCCAAAAAATCATAGTTTTGTGCTTTTGTTTTGGGTGGATTTATTTTTAAACAACCAGTTTAGTTATGTTGTTTCTTGATGACACTCTTAATTCACTTGTTGCGATCTGTTTTTGTAGTTTGATATGATTTTTTATTGGTTACAGTTACTTGTAAATCAACTCATCTTATGCTCCTCATATCACCAATGTATATTTTAGTTGTTACAACTAAAATATAATTTTATATATGTTTTTTTTGAAAATAATGAATATATGAGAGAGAGAGAGAGAGAGAGAGAGAGAGATGAAATATATATATATATATATATATATATATATATATATATATATATATATATATATATATGGGTGTTAGTAAGACTAGAGGGAGTGGTGATGTGGTGGTGTCTCTTATATATTTTGACATGTAAATGTCATATTAAAGCTTGTTAATATTACATAGTAGTAACTTAGGTTAAAACCTCTTTTATTGTAATTATCATTTATTTATGTGTTAAGACTAAACTTTATACATTGTGCAAAGAGTTACAGAACAGTAGTGATGTGTCAATATGGATTCGATCTTTGCTTCAACTATATTCTCCTCTGGTATAACTAGAAATAATTTTTCATACCCTTTATTATGTGATGGTTTGATAACAAAAAAATATCATTTCAAAACTTAGTCTTGTTACTTTTTTCCTAAAATGTATTTTGCAATTTGATTTTATCCTGAATATTTACGGTTTAGTCTTAGTCACATGAGTATTCCCAACTATATTTACCGTTTTATTGAAAGGGTAATAAGGGAGATCATCTCAAATCTTGGTTTTATTAACTTTTGCGAAAAAGTTTTTTGTATTTAATATTTGGGGAAAATGACTTAAAAAGGTAATAATGTTCCAAAAACGTACAAAAAACATCATTATTCTTTTTTTAGTGTCTATGTTCACATTCTGGCACTCTTTCCTTAACTGCTTCAATCAGTCCCTATTAAGTAACATTTGAATGTTATTATAAATTAAAAATAAAATGTAAATGGTATTATTAAAAAACAGTTGACTACCTTGTGTTGGTCAGAGATGATGGTTAGTCCTCTGCCTTGTCCCATATCAATGTCTTTAAGCAATAGATCCAAAAACCATTTCCAATTTGCCTTATTTTCAACTGCAACAACAGTCCATGCTAGAGGATACATTTGGTTATTAGCATCCCTACGAAAGTACCTCACCTCTACAAAGTCCCTTTAAAAAACATCCATCTACACCAATCACTCTTCTACACTCCTCAATCCAACCATCCTTCACAACCTTCAAGCAAATATACATCTTTGAAAAATGGACTGTAGAATTAGGCATGATATCCACATCCAATTTCACTGTGGAACCTGGATTAGTCCTCAATAGCTCCAAACCATAACTCCTAAGCTTTTCATAGTGTGCCACCAAACTCCCTTCTATCTCATACATTGCAAATTTTTTGGCATTTCTACACTGACCAAAACTAACTTTTTAGATTAACTTATCCTCGGATTATCTAGTATGGTTTCCATTAACTATTTTCCAATCCAACTATATGTGACCATTGAACCTAAATTGAAGGCCCTACAACAGTTGTGTTCAGAGATTAAGGACTTAATCTGAAATGATCTTTCTTTACTCATCCAAGTTGCCCACAACCTAAAAGGGCATTTAGACTTCTCTTCACCTTTGCAACATCTAACTAACATTCTAGTTGAATCATTTTTTCATACCACAGTTTATACCCATTAGCAACAGCATAATTGCTTAACAAATGCTTAAGTTCATAACGATCACAGAATTTCATACCTAAGACCGGAACCATTCTATCCCATTTTTGGTTAGGATCATGAACTGGATACTTATGAAGCTCTTTCTTGACATCTTTCTTATCATCTACAACTCTTGGAGGCTTGAAAAAATTTCTTCTAATGGAAGGATCATCAGATGGTTGTATTTGTATCACTTCATCATCAGGTTCACGCTCCACAAACTCATTATCTGAAAGCTCAGAGTCTACATCATCATCATCATCCGTATTACCATCTATCGATCCATCTTCAGCTATCTCTTCTTCAATCCACTCCATAACTGTCTCTTGACTGTGATCAATGTACAAATTAATCATACCCCCATTCTCATATCCAGCATCAAGAAAACGAACATAATCATTTTCATCTTCCAAGGCTCTCAACCTATCTCTCAGTGAACGTTGTGGAAGACAATAGTACACACTGATTCTTCCATCCTTGACCTGTTGGATTAGTGTCTAAGCCCGTAACTATATTTGGTATGTACTTGACCCGGTTATGCATGGTCCTTTTGGGTTGCCTTCACCAAAGCAACTTGACAAGGTAATTTGATATGAGAGAGAGGATATTATGGTTTATTAATATATTATAAGAATAATATATTAAAGGAGAAATCATATTTATTTAATTAGTATTAGTCATAAATTAATTAGGAATTAATTTGGTGACTAAAAGAGATTAATTAAATAAAGGGGCATAAACTGTCAAATGTGTGATAGTTGAGTTTTGGGCTGGGAAACCTAATGGACTAAGGGGGAACGAAATTATGATGAAGGATCATCATATTTTCGTCCAAGGGCCTTATTCCAGAAGGTTCCTTGGGCTACTTGGTGGCTAAGGTATCCATTAGGGTTTAGACTGAAACCCTAGCAGCTTGCACTATAAATAAGACCCCAAGGCTCCAATTTTCGGCCACTTGCTTCCAAGAGAAACCCTAGGGCCGAAAATTAGCATCCTCCCTCCTCTCTCAAAGTTTCCTTCTTGCTTGAGGTGTTTGTGATCCATTAGAGGAGTTACAATTGTGACTCTAAGCTCAAGAGAAGAAGATAAGAAGATCTAAGCCAATCTTTGAAGAGGTAAACATCTAGATATGATGTATTAAGTTAATTTTCGAATTATGTATGCTAGATTAGGGTTTGCAAGTCTTGGATTCAATGCATGTACAATAGAGAAACCTAGATCCAAGCATTAGGGTTTGTATGAGCACATAGGATTGTTCTTATGCTTAAAACCCATCAGTGGTATCAGAGCCATGATTGGTTTCTGTTGTATGTGATGCCTTAACTGTTTAATTGCTGAAAATCGTTTTTCTTGCCTCTGCCCGACTCAACTCGGCGAGTCAGTATCTGGACTCGGCGAGTTGGCCCGACTCGGCGAGTCCAGGACTGACTCGGCGAGTCTGTGCATCAGGCAGAGGATATTTCGGGATTTTGTTGCTGTTTTGTCATGGGATTAATGCCTAAATCGTTTTTTGAAGATAAAATCCGAATTTTATTATATTTGAATGATTATCCCTGCCAAAACAAAAGATAATTTCAAATCTTTTGAATAATAGTTTCTTTATATGATAAATATGGATTATTTGAATTATTTGGTAATTATCTTGTGACTAAAATTGGATTAGGTCAAATATAGATAATCATAAAATGAATTGTTTAATTTATATTATTTGTTATTTGATCCCTTGTGTTTTGAAAAGTTGAAAACTTGTCCTCAAGTTTTGAAATTTAAATTTTACGATTAAAAGTTTAATTTTGAATGATTTAAATTTCAAATCCTTAGAATTTTACAAGTTTAAAATTCAACCCTATACTATTATATTATTACAAGATTAATTAATATATATGTATAAGAATAAGCTAGTCTTATCGCTAGTAGGCCTCATTCACGAAGCCAGTCTATAAGGTGGGTATAAGGTTGCTGCCTATAAAATGACGCTTAATGGGTGTACACTCACATCCACCGCTTGCTTGATTGGTGGAGGGTCGTTAGCCGAACAGATAGGATAGGGCACTTAATTCCTCATTATAAGTATAATGAATATTGCAAAGTAACTACAATGTTTTTCAAATTCTCATCTTAGTTACTTTAGGGTAAAATGTGAAAATGATGCTATTCCATGGAATTACACTTTGTACCCCTGTCAAACGTTAGTGGAGCGTGCGTGGCTAACCGGCACACTAATTTAGGATTGACATTGGTGACAAAGGGTGGCTCGATGTTTTATCATAGATCAATGGAGCGTACGTGGCTAACCAGCACATTGATTAGGTGATGAAGACATTGAGTGCACCATGTTGATTCGCATGGTTATTCACAAACTTGTTTGCGATCCTCGGCATCCCAGTCGCAAATTTGAAGTGCATATCGAGATTTAAACATGCCATTGAAATGTTCAATGAATCTCAAAAGAAATCTAGGAATTTTCAAATACATTTAAAACTTAATTTCTTTTCGTTTTTCATGGTGAGAATTAGTGAATCGTCATTCACTTACCTTCAAATTATTTACTTTTAGATTACGGCATCCCTTTTCTAAGTTGTAAATAATGTTGTTGGATCCTAGCCCTAATTTCTCATTTGGGTGTTTAATTGGGGATTCATTTCTAATCAAACTTTGTTCCTTTCTATTTCAGATGTCTAACGCAAACGCAAACAACAACACTTCTGGGTCATTCTCGTTGATGAACCTATGTCAAAAGGTGACATTTGATGGCTCGAACTTCAACGAGTGGATGAGATACATTCGCATGATAACTCGCTACGAGGACAAAGAATATGTCCTCGACGAGAAGCTAGAAAAGATCAACCCAGAAGAAGCTACTCCTGAAGAGATGGCCGCCTTTGAGGCCCACGAGCGTGATGCAACGAAAGTTCATTGCATCATGTTGGCCACCATGAACCTCGAACTCCAAAAGTCCTATGAGGACATGTATCCATATGAGATGCACCAAGATTTGCTGGACAGGTACCACCAGAGTGCGAGACAAGAGCGCTATGAGATCATCACCAACATGATCACCGCTAGGATGGGGAGTGGAGAATCCCTAACTGCTCATTTGCAAAGAATGCAAAGGTATGTTGATCGTCTTCTCAAACTTAATGTTAAGTTTGATGAGGATTTGGCTATCGACATCATCCTCCACTCCTTGCCTTCCTGCTACAACCAGTTCAGAATGACCTACCATATGAACAAAAAAGAGGTCACCCTGAGTAAACTTCAAGGGCTCCTGAGGACAGCTGAGAGCAACCTCAAGGACAAATCTATTGCATCATCCTCTAATGTAGCTGCTCCTG